ATATATATATAAAAGAAAGGGAAAGAGAGACATCACAAGCACTGCCTTTTTGGGAAGGTCTTGTCTCCATTTGGTGATCCAAGACAGAAAGGTTGGCATCAATGAAGTCAGCAAGGATTTTCCACTTAAAGATTTCAACATTTAACTTTTCTTTTTAAAATGAAAACACTCACAAAGCTTTTCCCTAGGGTCGATTATCGGTCTGTGGAAAATGAATAAATGAAATAAATATATACGAATAAAGAGAAATCGTTGAACAGCAACACTCTCTTTACACCACCAGCTTTCACACTTTGTCCCACTTTTGTTTTTTTTTTTTCTTTTTGAAATGTCAGTTCTTTAGGGCAACAGTTCTAATTTTTGTTCTGCTCAGTGTAAGTAAATAGTTCTGACTGTGAGTTTTTGTTCACCGATCCCAGGAGAGTGGCTTGCATGCTCAGCAAAGAGACCTCTCACTGCAACCTCCCTCTAACATATTGATTAGGAATGGCTATTGGCGCTAGCCCTGTGAATAAAATGCTGCTCCACTGAATTCAATCCCCCACTGGGCAACTGAATGAAGAGACAAAACCTTTTAGACTTTTTTTTTTTCTTTTTCCCAAAATGCTATTTAGCTGCTAAGTTGAATGAAGCCTGTAGCAGGCACAGAGGAGGACAAAAATTGAAATGTCACTGGTGGGGTTCACAACTTCTGAAATGTCTATGTATCTGTTTGTCTCCCTGTCACTCACATGTTTCAGCATCCGCAACAGACCATGGAGCTATCACAATGAGATGCTTTATAAAACCAAAGGTAAATCATGTTGTTTTCAGACTCTACGCTCAGAGTCATTTGTTGACATCAAGGAGAGGAGGAAGCAGCTTGACATGTGCATCTGGAGACATTTCCCTGCTGGAAGCAATAATCCCCCTGACATTTGAAATTACTGGAACATGAAAAAAAGACAATGTTTATACAGATTTAGGGTACAGAGTAAGCAACGTTTTGTACCAGCATGATAGAAACAAGCATTTCCTTTTTTGTCTTTATGACTTCTACTATTGTGTGATGAGGGAAAAAGACGTCTGCATAATTTCATACTTCCAATTGTTTTCATTTAAAAATATTTTGTTAAAAATGATTGCTTTTGTAATCACCAACATCAATTCACATAATTATACTTACTATGTCCATTCATCTCCTTACATGAGAACAGGCACTAACATTTTGGTCCACCATAACCTTTCATCTTAATGTTGTGCTGTACTTCATTTCTTTTTTTTTCCCTGAGCCTCAGAATGACTTTAGGTAGGCAAGTGGTTTCCCATATATCATTTGTTTATTTAGTAATTTATTTATTTGTGTATTAATCTATGAGCTATGTATTTAATATTAAATAATGCACAGTTCTCTTCATGAGATTTATGAGAAACTTCAGGCTTTCTCAGTAGTCCTTTGTTTTCTGTTTGGTTGGAATATAGGGCAGTACAGTTTGAGTGCTCTTGTCTGAGACAGTTTGTGTGCTGCTATTTCGTAACAGTTTTTTGCGGCAGCTGGGATTTAGGAGACCTTTCCTGGGTAATGTGTGAGCTCCTGTCATCCCCTTCAATGGTGAGGAGACATAGGAAGAGTCAAGACAGTTATGGAGAAGTGAATGCTCAGAGGAAGAATGTTTGGGGGAAACCGAGCTGCCCAGGAAGCTGGGCTCAGTATCACTCTCTGGAGTAGCACAGCCACTCTTGTCCTCTTGTAACTCATCTTGCTCCTCCTCATCATCATCATCATCACAGCACAATGCATGGTACAGAATTTTATCACTAAAGCGAACTCTCTCTCTTGTGCCAGAAGTACGGGAGGTCTTTTGGCTGTGTGTGGAGCTGCTGGCCTCCTCACTCGATGAATCTGGCGTAATAATGCGTGGCCCATTAGGGATGGGAAGCCCGCCGTTCATCTGGGAGTACACCGAGGCAGTGCTGGGAGGTGGTGTTGGAGTCTGGGTTTGAGTGGGGATGGTCTCATGGCCCAGCTCTTGTCGTAGATCCCCTGGTTGTTCGCTAAATCTGCGGGCAGCTGCACCCGCAGCCTCAAGGTAACTGCAAAACTCCCAGCTGTCTGAAAGCACATCTGTGTTGAGGAAGTCCAATCTGAAGGCTTCTCCCAGACCCCGTTCGCTGCTGGATGTGCTGCTAGCTGTGGCCACTGTCCAGTCATCTGGCTCCAGGTCGAAGTCAAAGTCAGACGTTAGTTTATCGATTTGACCCACCACCTGAAAAGGAGGAAAAACACACATGGGAATACATAAAAAAACTGAGACATTTCAGAGAAGCAAACTTTTTTTTTTTTTCGGCTACTCCCTTCTTCAGGGGTTGCAACAGCGAACTACGTCGCACAAAGACGTGGCAATTATTTTTACGCCGGATGCTCTTCCTGACACAACCACAGACCACCGAGCTACCACATCCCTCTGTGTGGAGCAGAGAGCTGCTATTTAGGGTGCCCGGGGAAGCAGATGGTGGGGGTTAAGGGCCTTGCTCAAGGGTTCAGAGTAAGGCAAATGAGAGTGGAGGCAGGTGTGAGAGAAGCAAACATAAAACAAAATATTTAAAAAAATATGACTTTTACTTTTAACCATGTTTAAAACACATCTAGGTAATGTCTACGGATAAATATTGTCTGCCCTCTTTCAATTCTGAAGGTTTATGTTTCAGTACATAATAAATATGATCTGGTATCTATCTACCAGTTTCTTAAACAATTTAAATTCAAACCTATTTGTAGAATAATACGACATACTTTGCTGTGTCATTATTTATTAAACAATGAAAAAGACAAAATGAAAAAGCTGTGCGTGAAAATTTAAGTCCAGCCCTAGTAGCCAGTTGCTTGTAGATCCACACTGAGAAGCAATGACTTGCATTTTCTGTATTCTGGGTGACTAAGTTTTGAGGAAGTGTGTGGAGAAATGTAGCCCACTCCTCTTTAGAGCATTAGTTCATTAATGTGTGTAGGCATTTGTTTATGCACATCTCTCTTAAGGTTCCACCACAGCAAACTGAGGTTTGGACTTGAATTAGAGGTGTCCAACACATTCACTATTATTTTGTTAGTGAGAATTTTTTTCTTTCTAGATTTGCTGTTGGTTTTAGAATAATCATTTTTACATCACCTTGTATTAACCAGATTGTCTGACATAGCTGACCTCACATTTGATTCCAGAAAGCATTAGGCTATGTGGTGGTGTACATTATTGTATCTAAGGTATCTAGTCTTTGTTTTCATGTGTCTAAAAGACTGCTCTAGAAGTCTTGAGAGTCATTCCAATTGCAACTTTGCAGACCGAAGTCATGCAGCTGTATTATTTTTAGAGATAAAAGGCTTTCTCCTGCAACCTTTCCAAACAAGTCATGCATGTTCAGTCTTTTTCTATTTGTACTAGTAGCATTTTTAGCGTCAACATGCTAAGTGAAGCCTGCAGAGTATTACGTCTAATACACGACACCTCATTCTGGGACTTGAATACCTTCTGGCCACCTTGTTGGGATTTCTGAGCAGACTGAGGCAATAAGGGGGACAAAGTCAAGGGAGGGTCATAGCCGATCCACCCCTCAAGCACTTTTGTGCCATGACGTGAAATTGTAACAGAGTTGAACTGTTAGCATGTGAAAAGGTTAGCTGCCTTTGGGGCTCAGTATTATGATTAAGTGATAACATACATTGCACCCTGTATTCACTGGTTAACTGGTCATCATTAACTTCACACAGACTGTCTCACTGGTACATTTTCATTTTAAAATCACTTATTAGTTTGTTGCCTTCATACATCTCCTCCTACATGTCACTGCGTGAGTGCAGTTACAGCGTACGCTCTCAGGACATTATTACCTGCAGTGTTCCCTCAGTGCGGACTGAACTAGGCAAAAGGGCCTTTTCCTACTTTGCTTCTGTAACCTGGGATATATTGCAAAAAGATCTGAAGCTCTTGACCTTGACCTCTCTAAGTGGCTTCAAACAAATAAGTTCCTGGCAAAAACCAACACAGGGATGTTCCTGTTTTTAGTTTTCTACATCACTTTACAATCTAGCTGTTTTTGTTTCATTTTTTAATTCATTAATTATCATTTTCTTCCATTTATTTTTTTAAATTTATATGCTTTCTTTTATGATTGTCTACTGTTGTCTTTGTTGTCATCATTGTTTGTTAAAAACAGGTCTCTTTTGTAAATGAGTCCTCGAGACTCAGTGAGACTCAGTGTAAATACAAGTCCAATGAATGAATACATTCTGTGTCACACACCGGTTGAGTGATTGATAAACAGCAAAGAGATTTATTACAGATAGAAGATGACAACGACGCACAGGGGATGGGGGAGTGGTGGCGCAGAGGCTAGAGAAGTTAGGCCTGTGATCGGAAGATCGCGGGTTCACGTCCCGGTACCGACAACATCAAAAATGTGGGTGGGGTAGGGGAAACACCCACACCTGCCCCCATCCTCATTCACCCCACTCTGGGCCCATGAGCAAGGCCCTTAACCTCCACCATCTGCTCCCTAAACAGGTCTCTCTTGAAAATGAGTTCTCGTGGCTCAATGAGACTACCTGGATAAATAAAGGGTAAATGAAAAAAAAAAAAAAACATGCACATCAACTTCATATTTATTAAGAAAAATAAAGTTAACTATGAAGAAGACTTGCATGTTCTCTCCGTGCATGCGTGGGTTTTCTCCGGGTACTCCGGTTTCCTCCCACAAACCAAAAACATGCATGTTAGGCTGATTGGTAACTCTAAATTGTCCCTAGGTGTGAGTGAGAGAGTGAATGGTCGTTTGTCTCGTTTGTCTCTATGTGGCCCTGTGATGGACTTACGACCCGTCCAGGGTGTACTCTGCCCCTCGCACAGTGATTGCTGGACATGGGCACCGGTGACCCCCGTGACCCAAAATGGAAGAGGCGGGTAAAAGATAATGGATGGATGGATGAAGAAGACTGCTAAAAAGAGTAAAATAATTTTATCTAAAAAAACACACACAAAGAAGATTTCCATCACACATTTAACGCTCTACATCAGTGGTTCCTAACCTATTTTCCTCAAAGACCCCCCCCCCCCCCCCCCACTTACTTCCTAGCCAATCTGAGACCCCCAATCCCTCGTTACTCCCCTCTCCCAAAAGACTCAGTCAGATTAATCTCTTTATCAAAGTGATAAATGAATAAAGTAAATAAAAAGATATTATAATTTATATCATAAGCAATATTATTAGTAATAGTAGTTAAATATAGAATAAAGTAAATAATAAAATAATAAAGTAAATAGTTACAAACTTTTACTTGTAAAATGTATAAACTGGCAGTTGTACAACAGAAATTACTATAAGAACACTGTTTTGAGAATTACTCCCAATAACTTTTCTTTAAAAAACTAACAACAGAGTAATCTTAAAAACAGTCTTAAAAAAATTGTAGTTTTGTCAAGATAACTTCCTAATCCTATCATGCAGCTGATTTTTGCAATTTTCAGCTATTTTATCTATGATGTCCTTGAAAATATGACAATAAAGAAATGGCAATAAATAAAGAAATGACAATAAATAATAAAAAATGACAGTAAAGAAACTCTGACTGACTGACACTGAAAGTGTTAGAGCGGGACAGTTTTCACTTGATCCACTGCATGAGCTCTACACATCAACTCTGCAATTTTCAGGCAGGCGGGTTTCAGAAGGTTTCTCCAACACTGTGCAGATTTTTAGCCTTAGCGATTATAAAGGAACACTCAAAAGATCTTCTGTAGCTCTGTGCAAATCACTACCTGCTCTTTCAAAGGCTTTTCCGTGGACCTTTTTGCCAACTGCTTGTTCCTGAAAGTATTCCCGACTTTCACCATCACCAACGCCTGTTCTAAACTAGGGGAAAATGTACTTGTGTTGTCAGAAAAATGACACATCTGAGTGTTTTTACACATTTAAACAATCACAACTGCATGTGCTTATGTTTATGTTATATATTTAATAAATGTGAGCTTAACCAAGAGCAACAATAACTTCCTGCCTCTTCTCAGGCAGCGGTGCCAACTGAGAGGCGGACGCACAGTGTTGCCAGGTGAGAAATGTAGGATTATCGTACTAGAGACATAAAATTATCGTATTTTGAAGGAAATTATCATACACCTGTCATAACCAAAATAATACATCTATTGATGCACTATAGTAGTGATGGGTCCGCTTCCAGACCAGCTCTTCTTCTTTTCTTTTTTTACTTGTCCTCACTCATGGGGCGGGCGCAGCGGACTATTCAGCCAATCATGGCTGTTGTTCTGAGGCAAACGCAAACACCTCACTCGTAGGTAGTAACATTTAGAAAAGCACGATTGGTGGACACAGATGCCTTCAGGGTTCACAAAAAAAAACTCAGACAAACAGTAGCGAGAGGCTGATGACAACCGATTACAACGACACATTCAAGGAATGGTCAAATTATCGTATATTTGGCCTTTTTGGGGATTATTGATCATACAGAGGGCAAACTTGTCGTACAAATACGATAATTATCATACACCTGGCAACACTGTGGATGCACAGTACTGAAGTCATAAAAAAAGCGCTCTTAAAGTGATAGTACAGATTTTAGTTTTTAACACAATACGTTATAGAAAACTCTTAAAACATAACCGAAATGAGGGTTCTTCAGTGTTAATCAAGATTTGGTGAAATTTCAAACATTATACTTAAAAATAAAAGCATATTTTCTAAAGTTGTTACACAGACAATAAATTGATATTTTTACAACCTCTAAGCAGACATATTATGCGAGCCTCCCACCCCGCGCGCGCTCAACATCAACACAGCAGAGTTTTGCTTCACTCCTCTTTTGGTTCCACAGTACTTTCATCGTCTCTGAAAGTTCTCATTTTTGCAGGATGTAGCCATCTACATCGATGATTTTTAGAATGGCCAGAGGCTGCATGAAGACAGCATGGTCTTTGGCCACAGGCCATTCAGCTTAAGTATTTTATGAAAGAGCCTTTAGATGGAGTATTTTGTCTTCAAATTTCTCTGAGCATTGCAATGTCTGACCTTTGGGTGAATTTGCTTTGCTGTCCACTTCTGGAAAAATTGGCAACTGCCTTAAAGGTTTTCTACTTGTGAATAATCTTTTCTGCATGTTGCTTAGAAATATCTTTGCAAACTTCCCCAGAAAAAAAAAAAAAGGACAGCAACAGTTGCTTTAATGCCATTAAGGAGGTCTTCCTCATTTGGCATTTTGCCAACA